GGCCGGCGGGGGTGGCACACGCCTCCTCCGACGTCCACGCCGGGGCGGCTCACCTCTCGCGGGACAAAGCCCAGCAACGCCGCTCCACAGCCCCCAACTCCCAGCCCCGCGACTCGGCATCCACCTGCGCCGTCAGTCGGCCCTGTCCTCACACTCCTCCAAGCGGCCTTCGCCTCGACTCTGGCCCAGGCCTCGTCCGCCAGGTACCCCCACGCAGCCTTCGCCCGGCTCCCTCAAACCCCTCCTCAGGGACCAGCACCCCTCCACGTACCTAGAGAAGAGTCTTGTAGCTCGCTGTAGTTGGGCTTCCGGCGGGGGCCGGAGGACTTCCTGACGAGGAAAGAGCGCGGCATGGTGACCGAACCAGCCGGGGTCGCGGGGTCGCGCGGGGGTCGCAGGGCGTTCCACCTAGGAGGCCGCGCGGAGAGGCTGTGAGTGAAGACACGCCGCCACCTCCTTAAATACTCCGGCCGCTGGCGGGGCGGGACCAGTGGGCCACGCCCCTTTGTCACCTCCGCACCAATCGGAGATGCACTTCAGTCAAAGGCCACGCCCCGAGCAGGTGCTCCGGGGGCTGGCTGGGCTCGCGCCGCGTGGCGCTGGGAGCCCCGGCGGGGGTTCCTCCGAGGCCCGGCCTGGGAGCAGCACGAATGGCCCCCGCGGCGGGCTGTAGGGGGCGGGACGCCGGGCTCAGGGAGCCCCCCGCGAAACTGAACGCCAGCAGGACGCCGCGTGCTCGCCCCCTCAATGCCCGGTGGTCGGAGCGCCTCTGGCGCCCCCTGGCGCTGCGCGCGGGCGATCTGGACACCTGATCTTCCGAAACCCGCCCTGGCCTCGGGCTTGGGGAGGGGGCGGAAATTTGCTCGTCCGGACTGGCGCCTCGCTAAGAGCGTGGCATTGACCCCGGCAATACACATTGCTGGGGAGGATGCGAGGAAATAGGCACACTCACGTGGCTGCTGGCAGTATGAAGTGCCAGGCTTTTTGCAAAGCAATCGCATCGTTCGGCTAAATGTACTGGTTCCTTCACTTGGCAGACGTTTACCAAGTGCCCACTACGTGCCACTACGTGTTCCTGGAGCTGGGATCCAGCCCTGAACCTCATACTCAGGGTCTCTACCGAAGGGCAGCTTTCCGTCCGGTGGGGGAGACAGACGAAGTAAACAGACGATTATAATGCAAAGGGAAGTGTGCTTTGATGGAGGGTGGGGAGAGACAGGACGCGGTGACAGTCAAGAGCCAGTCACCTGACAGGGGGTCAGGGGCGACTTCCCAGAGGAAGTGAAGAAATATCAAGGGGAAAGGCCCGGCGACTTACGAATCAGTAACTACTTTCAGAGCCATTGGAAGCAGCTTCCAGGGGTGGGGGTGGGGTGGGCCGGCGGGAGGGGTCAGAGTTGCTGGGCCTCCAGGCCTAGGAGGAATTTGGACTTTGCCTTCAGGGCACTGGGGAGCCATGGAAGGATTTTCAGCTGAGACACTGGTTTAGCATTTGGTTGAGAAAGAACACTGGGCAGGTGGGCGAGCAGTAGTCAAGGGCAGGCCGGGGTGGCTCAGCTCCCCTCTCTGAGGATCGTCTATTCCCTGTCTGAATAGATGGGTCTCAAGTGTGCTGGACCCTGAACCAGCTCCCCTGTGAGGCATGCCAGGCCAGGGTGTGAGCACAGAAATTAATCCCACAGGCCCTGCCATACTCGTTCCCACCTGTGAAGGAGAACTAGGCGTCCCCCCACTTATCAACAAGATTGGGAGCACAGACTGGTCGGTCCTGCTCTCTAGGGGACAGGGACAGCAGCTGCAAACTGAGTGGCGGTGGACGTGGACACTGGCAACAGGCAGACATTGGCAGAATACGCCTGCTCCCGTGGCGATTCCGTTCCAGTCACGGTTTTCCACACAAACCAGCACCCTCCCTATGCTCCTGTCTCACTCCAAAAAAAGCCAAAGTCCTCACCATGGCCTACTCCACCCTGCCCATCTGACCCCTGCTGACCTGGTCTTGATTCTCTCTCCCTCCCCTCTGCACATTAACCTGCCCCCCACCTTCTGTCTGACCCTCCAACACCCCAGCCCTTTCCCACCACACGACCTTGGCACCTGCCACTCCTCCTCCTTTTTCCCTCAGTCACCCCCTAGATCTTCACCTAACTGGCTGCTTTTCATTCTTTCTTTCAGCAACAAGTTCACCAACTGCTCAGCCTCATTAGTAAAGAGGGAGATGCAAATGAAAACCACAGTGAGACACCATTTCACACCCACCAAGGAAAAAAGTAAAAATTTGGTCAATATCAAGTGTTGATGAGGATGTGAGAGTGTCAATGGGCATAGCCTCTGTGAGGGAGTCTGGCATTGGCTGGTAACAGGTGACTCAGCTGCCCCAGGCCAAGGGCATCCCCAGGGGGTCCCAGCCCTGGCTGCAGGTTAGATACCCTTTGGAAACAGTTCAAAACTCTTAAGTCTGGGCTCCACCCCCACCTGCACACATCCTGATTTAATTAGTCTGGGGTGGGGCCTCTGGCATGGGCATTTTTCAAAACTCCCCTGGTGGGGTCAGCAGTTGGTGTAATGGCTATGTCGCTGGACTCTCATGTAGTCCAGCAGTTGGTGTAATGGCTATGTCGCTGGACTCTCATGTAGTCAACTGCAGTTCGAGTCCCAGATCAGTGGCTTAAACTCAAGCTGGGCGCATGTGTGTGCATGCCTAAAATCCTGAGAGGAGAAGGGATTGCAGTGTGGCCATCCCCCTGGGGGTGATTTCTCATTTTCTGTCTCTCTGTCTCCCTCTGTCTTTCTGGTGAGCGCACACGCCCTATAGCAAAAACCTCTCAAAAACAAAACAAGGGAACCAGCAGTTAGCGTAATGGCTATGTCGCTGGACTCCCACGTAGTCGACCGCGGTTCGCGTCCCGGACCCGGTGGCTTAAAAAACTCACGCTGGGCGCGTGTGCGTGCGTGCCCAAGATCCCGAG